ATTTATCAAAATAGTAGACAGAACCCAAAATTATTTTTAAAAATGTTGGTCGTCTCTTTAGACACAGAAAAGGAGAAGCAACCATTTGATTTCTGTTTTATAATACAAAAATAGAAAATGGAACTCAAAATGTTTTACTTTGTCTGTCAAAAAAGGGATGAAGTTTTATTTGCTGTCTGCATTAACAGGAAATGAAAGTACTTTGAAACAGAAACAAAATAGCCTTTTTATTTTTTAGACTGGATGCTTTCACCTATTTCAAAATAGCACCAAATTAAAAGAGAGCATATATTCAAAGTCTCCTCATGCTTTGCTCCCTTCAGTGAGCCTGGACCTCCTTTTTATCGGCGTGCCCCAGGAAAGCAGTGGCTGCATCATAGCTCCCCACTTTGAAGCACTTTGGAGTCATTGGTCTTGATAAAGTGCTAAGAAGTATCGAATAATTAATTACTTTTCACTGAATAATCTCCTTATGAGCATCCTGCCCCTCGACTTATTTATAATATATTCCAAAAAAGATTTAAAAAAAACAATCCAGGCTAATAAAATAAGTCAAACATCCCCCATTCCAAAGGGGTGGACTCGTCCATCCGTTTCAATTTTCATGTTTTCTAAGCAAAAACAAAGCTTTGTTGGGCTATTGTATAAAACCTGGAACTCAACGCTATTCCTGACATTTTGAATTGAAAAAGCTTCCTGGATGGGAAGAGAAACGTCTTTAAACTTGGAAACAAAGTCCAGGGGATTGTTAACTTTTTTATTTGGTCACATCAAAAATCATAACTTCTAAACACATTTTATCGTGAGCTAAAGGAAAAATAGCACCCTGATATGATGCTTTCAGAAAAATTTATGTTTTTTCATTTCTGTTTTAGAATTATTTAATTATTTGTTAATTAAACTAAAAAAACTTTAAAAATTTCAAAGTTTTACCTCTTCCCTTTTCATACATAAAAAAAGAAACGCCTCATATTGTAAATTTTAAATTAAAATACTGGTATTTAAAAAAAAATCAAATAGCTTAACTTCTTTATATGTATTTATATGTTTTCCATTCGATTTTCCGTCATCAGTATCCCAAGAGGGGTCGTTATCTTTTGCTATCCAAATATTAATCGATTAATTGAAAAAAAATAATCGACAGAAAATAATCTTCAGTTGCAGCCCTTTTTTATTTTGATTTAGAAAGATAATTTTTTTCCCTTTATTTTGTATCCAATGAAGTAGGGATACAAATGGAGTTTACAAATAAGAAATCCAACATAAGCCATAAGGAAATAAATTCAATATAAAACCTAATCTAATTGCTAAACAGCTGTATTATTTATGGAAGAGGATTAGGGCCACTGGAAAAAAAAAAAGTTAACTGATTTTTTAATTTTATTTCAGTTTAATATGGGGAAAAAAGTTAGAATTCTGACTTTCATCTCAGAATTCTGACTTTTTTCTCGGAATTCTGACTTTCATCTCAGAATTCTGACTTTTTTCCCAGAATTTTGACTTTAATCTCAGAATTCTGACTTTTTTCTCGGAATTCTGACTTTCATCTCAGAATTCTGACTTTTTTCCCAGAATTTTGACTTTAATCTCAGAATTCTGACTTTTTTCCCCCAGAATTTTGACTTTAATCTCAGAATTCTGACTTTTTTCTCGGAATTCTGACTTTTTTCCCCCAGAATTTTGACTTTAATCTCAGAATTCTGACTTTTTTTTTCAGAATTCTGACTTTAATCTCAGAATTCTGACTTTTTTCTCGGAATTCTGACTTTCATCTAAGAATTCTGACTTTTTTCTCGGAATTCTGACTTTTTTCCCCCAGAATTCTGACTTTAATCTCAGAATTCTGACTTTAATCTCAGAATTTTGACTTTAATCTCAGAATTCTGACTTTAATCTCAGAATTCTGACTTTTTTCTCGGAATTCTGACTTTTTTCCCCCAGAATTCTGACTTTAATCTCAGAATTCTGACTTTAATCTCAGAATTTTGACTTTAATCTCAGAATTTTGACTTTAATCTCAGAATTCTGACTTTAATCTCGGAATTCTGACTTTTTTCTCGGAATTCTGACTTTCATCTCAGAATTCTGACTTTAATCTCAGAATTCTGACTTTAATCTCAGAATTCTGACTTTAATCTCAGAATTCTGACTTTAATCTCAGAATTCTGACTTTAATCTCAGAATTCTGACTTTCATCTCAGAATTCTGACTTTCATCTCAGAATTCTGACTTTCATCTCAGAATTCTGACTTTAATCTCAGAATTCTGACTTTTTTCTCAGAATTCTGTCAGCCAAAAAACATGTTAGCATCAAGCCATAGCCATGTCTGTTTTAGAGACTAGCTCTCTTGTTTTACAGTTTTTCTGGATTGTTTACACACATTTCTGAAAACATGCCTCGTATTCTCAGAACTCTACACACAAATCCAACAAACACACACACAATGGGCAAAACCCTTCAATTCTCCTGCAAAATGAAACTTTACATTCAAAACAGTTTTATCTCTTCACAAAAGGCCATTTTGTGTTCAGATGACACACACAAACTATCATATGAACAGACAATTAAAAAAAGCATTTAAACACTGATGTGCTCAGTGTAAAACACCATTCTCCATTCATCATAATGACTTTTTGTTCAGTGTTACACTTACTACAGACATTAAATACATAAGTGCGTTGTAAAATATTTTAGAATATTGTTTTTATACTCAGAACACACAAATATACTGTAACAAACATGTTTTATTTTTCCCACAAAACAATGTACACAGTGTACATCCCAACTGACACAAAGTTGCACATACAGTGCAGAAGATTTTACTGTATACAGTTACAGTAATAATAAAAAAACAAAACAAAATAAACTATGCTGCATCCTCTCTTCTGTTTCGGTCTGGCCACAGCACCTCATCTACATCACAAGCAATGTTTTCCCTGGCCAAGCAGCGGGGGAAATATCGCCTAGCATGGCGAATCCAGCCATGAAAAGCATCAACTGCTATATCTCCACATGCGTCTTCCATAGCTTGGAAAAGGGGTATACGCGTTTCTGAATTTAGGTCGTACACTTTCCATCTCCAGGCAGAAAAAAATTCCTCAATAGGATTGAGGAATGGAGAATATGGAGGGAGATAAACAACTGAAAAGCGTGGGTGGTCAGTGAACCAGTTATGAACCAGAGCAGCCCGGTGGAAGCTTACGTTGTCCCAAATGACAACGTACCTGAGCTGCTCTGGGCCGTCTATCTGATCTGGTGGAATGAGTGTGTTGTGTAGGGTGTCCAGGAATGTGATCAGATGGGCAGTGTTGTAGGGGCCAAGGGTAGCATGGTGATGGATGATGCCATGGTCGGTCATCGCTGCACACATTGTGATGTTCCCTCTGCGCTGGCCAGGGACTTCAACAATGGCACGCTGGCCGATTATATTCCTTCCCCTCCTTCGTCTTTTTGTGAGGTTGAATCCAACCTCATCAATGAAGAAGAACTGGTGCTCCACTGCATCCACCTCCAGCTCAAGGACTCTCTGAAACACACATGACAATATCAGAAGTAGACATGGAGCGGTCTCTATTGTGAAGCACAATCATTATGATTACAATATAATAGAAAGAAATATGTATGATTTATACAATGTTGACAGTATGCATCAAAGGTGGGAATGTACTGTATAGGACGTACTTGCACATAGTTATATCGCAATTCTTTGACCCTTTCTGAATTGCGCTCAAATGGCACCCTGTAGACCTGCTTCATCCTCAGTTTATTTCTGTGCAAGACACGGTCCAGCGTTGATAAACTTACCCTATCAATATTTTGAAATATCTCATTGTTTTCTATTATTTTTCTTTGTATTTGCCGTAAGGTAATGGCATTATTTTCAAGAACCATGTTCATGATCTCTGTTTCCTGTTCAGGAGACAGAAGACGGCCCCGTCCACCTCTTGTTGGTAATCTTTCAGTTCTGCAATACAAAGAGTGCAATACTGTAAATACTGTGTAGGAATACATTTCCCAAATACTCGAAACACAATGTCCTACAGAACAGTCCACAGGTAATACTGTACTACTGTACTCATTGAGTACTGTATTGATATGCAGTACTGCAGTTTTGTAGTGAGAGTAGATTTCTTACCTATTCTCATTGCGGAAAGTCCGGATGATGGATGCTACAGTGTACCTGCTCAAATTTGGCTGTACTCTTTGCCCAGCCTCCCTCATTGTTAGGCCATGGTTGACCACATGGTCAACCAAAGTTGCTCGGATCTCATCAGAAATGATTGTCCTTGGCCTTCCTCGTCCTCGTCCTCCCCATCGTCCTCCTCTTACTCTCACTCCTCTGGCTCTGGCTCTGCCTCTGTTTACAACATTGGCCTCCATTGCTCCAAAACAGAAGAGCTCACCTGTTGCCCTTCTATGCTAAAGCTCTGATTGCTGAGTGGAAACATGTGTGTTAGGTGTTTGCCCATGTGAGGAGTCAGTGTGCATAGTAGGGAAATTAACTTTAGAGTTTTGAATAACAGTGTGTTCCTTGTGAAAACAAAAGATTTTCTTCATGACAATTGTGTGTAGAGTTTTGGAAAAAGTGTGTTTTAGAACTGCAATTTGAGTGTAAAGCAGGAATTGTGCTTGTAGTTTAGCAGAATTGGTTCAGGGGGTTGGTGCATGAGTTACATTTTGTGGTCATTGTGTTTCAAGTACCAATATTTGTGTGTAAACAATCGAGAAAAACTGTAATTACCTTCTGCTCCTCCATTAATGAGGGTGGCCCTAATCCTCTTCTGTAATTATTAATATTGATAGCCTGTAATTTTCTGTTTGGTTATCAGAGTCTATTGACCAAAAACTAACTCCCTGACCCTCATTGCGTGATGAGGTATTTAATGTAAATGGACTTTCTATAAAAGGAAGAAAAGAACAAACTTTTTTCAGGCTCCGCCTCCATGAGAGGCTTCAAATAGCCTCGCTTTGTTTCCCAGCCGCCAGTCAAATTCCTGAAGAGGACGCAGAGCAGCGGACCTGAAGCTGCAGCAGGGAACTGTCTTGACTTTGCTCTTTGACAGTGAAACCGTGGGAGCGCTCTAATTGGCGGCCGTAAAAACAGAGGAAGTAGTTTCTTCTCTTCAGGGTTTCATTGGCAGAGACGCTGAAAGATAATTAAGTGCCGTTCTTGTCTCCACGAGTCGCTGTTTTGCTTCTTTTTTTTTAAACAAAATTATTTAAGAAAAGACTTAACGGCAGTGAGACAATGTCCTTCAACAAAGGTCCTGCTTATGGGTTATCAGCTGAGGTGAAGAACAAGGTAAGACTGTCAATCAAAGTAGTTTATAAAACTTTTCTTCATGCGTTTTTTACACGTGTATTTTTTTTTCCACTCTTCGTGGAGCGCGAGCTTCTTCGAAATCACCTGGCTTCCATTTTTTTTTTTTTTCTCTTTTCTTGCCACGCGCCGTCAGGTTTCTAAAGGTAGAGGTGAACGGGAGATAAACTCGTCTGTTTTTCGTCCTTCCTGTGAAAAACGAAGCTTGTTGGAAAGACTTTTTTAAATGTTAGTTGGAATTTCTTCTCTCTTAGCTGTACAGCGAGGGGGTAAAAGTTTTTAAAACATTTGGGCGTTGCCCCGTCTTGGCAACCAAATATGTCGTTGTGGCAAAAAAAAAAAAAAAAGTAATCCCCGCTTCCAGCATTTTCTTTTTCCCCCCGCGGGCAGACAGCCGCCCTGCACCGTGACCCGAATTAACAGGCAGATAAATTCACCCTTCATCCCTGATCTGAGGAACAATCTGATTTTTCTCAGCTGCTTTCTGCCTCCTGATGGTCTGATTTCTGCTCTCCTACCAGAGATCTCCTCTGACCTGTAAAAAAAAGCAGAATAAAAGAGGAAAAAGTGTTCTTGAAACGGCCCTGCTCTTCAGTAATGTGTAACTTTGTTGGCCTTCATGAGGGAAACACTGTTTATTTAAGGCAGTCTGGGTGCATCAAAGTGTTTGGCAGGAAGAGGCTGCTTGGCCTCTATGGTTTGGTTTCACTGCTTTGCTTTAAGGAACACACATTTAAACCAGGGGCGGTTCTAATGACGGCCCCCAAAGGGGCCCAGGATGGGACCAAGGTTTAAAAAAAAAAAAAAAAAAAGCTTTTTCATCTGAAATAGGAAAAAAAGTACGACGGAGTATCCGGGCCAGGCTAGACCTTTTTTTTTTTCCCTTCTATTTCGGGAATGAAGTCGCGCGATTACGGGAATGAAGTCGCGCGATTACGGGAATGAAGTCGCGCGATTACGGGAATAAATAAAGTTGCGCGATTACAAGAATAAAGTCAGAATGAGACTTTGCAGTATGGTCTGCATGTTATTCCACGCCACAACGCAAGAGGGACAATCACGAAGTTTGTGCGAAAACGAAGGGATGTGATGGCGAAAAAGACCGGGAATCCAGGTGGAAAAAGGGTCCCAGCGTTCTCGCGCATCTCGCTCTTCTAGCTGGTCCAACTTGGCGGTCATACAAACAAAACAAGCCGGTAAGATACCAAACAGGACATACGCATAGTGTGGAGCGGATGTGGATTTGACCAATCAGAGGGCTCCTTTCCTCCCCGCAACACTGTCTGCGCAGACGACCTGGTTTCTGAGCATTAACCAGGCTGTAGGTCTATTCAAATGCGACCTGTGTTGCATTCACCTGAACTATACAGCATTAATACCCAACAAAAGTCACTATTCTACGTCTTGTAGCGCAGAGGCAACAAGGAAAACAACAATCATGTCGGACGATGATGTGGAGAGCAGTATTTACTCTTAACCATATTGAAAAGATTGAGTTTTTGGATGCGCTCCATCATTACCATCCATGTTTACTTACGTAAACACAGAGCACAATGGCTTGTGATGTCATTGCGTCCTCTACTGCGCATGCGGGATAATTGCGTCGTATGAATGCAGTTCACACAGGCGATCACAAAAAACTTGGAATTGAGCATCAAGCCCTGCATTGTGAACGTAGCCTTAGTTTCCAAGTAAATATCTGTTTCAAGGTAAAATAACATCGATATTCTGTGAAATTTGAAAATGAAAATAACATTTCATGCAAAAAAAAACGTTTTTGAGTGATAACGCCCAAAAACAAAATGGCAGCGGCAGATGTAAACACATCGGATGGAACCGTGTTTCAGCCACTGCTCCAGTGCTCATCCCACAAATTGTCGCAAACCAAAAAAAAAAAAAACTACTTCCAGTCTCTTTGTCTTATAATAACGCATTAAGGTCCCGCTGCAGATCACATGACCCGTTTGATAAAAAAAAACGCTTCTATCGCAGTTTTGCGAAATATAAGAATTTCAACGAGACAGCAAAACCAATTTTACATTTTCATGTTTCCATTTCGCAGACATATTTTGATAATTACAATTTTATCAGTTTGATGGTTAATTCAAACACAGCTAGTGTTGTATGTTGGTGATCGTGACCTCGTTGGCCGACCATTTGATGATTGATGCGGGCAGCTAGCCGACATCATGGCCAAAGCTTCTGTTAAAGCAACTAATGGGCACCACTCAATATTTCAATGCGATAGCAACGTGCTAAACTAGCTGCAGAATTGCAAAATGCTATATAATAAATACCAAGGCGTTTGAATTTGTTAAAGGCTAATTATAGATGATCAGCTACATAAATCTCATGTAAAAAAAACTCAAGAACAGTATTCTAGAGTTGGAAGTTGGACCAAAGTTAAATATTGAGCTCCACAAAAGGATTATGTCAATAGAATAACAATTAAATTAATATATTCTTTGGAATTTTATTTAAATGTGCATTCATGTTTGAAGAATAGCACACACTTTTACTTATTTTAAACTAAAATGATCATTTTTGACCAATTCAGAAGTAAAACTTGAATAAATCTGATAAAGAAATTGTAAAAAAGGTAGACAATGACATGGATGCGAGCTGCTGATTTGTTATGGTTCCATTGCATATCATCATAATACATTTAGTATTATGTCAGCAGTTGGGGGGGGGCATAATGGAGGCAATAGCCCCTGTCTAGAACCGGCCATGTTCAAAACTGCTTTTTAATTTCCAATCTGAGCCGAGTTGCTCAAAGTGATTTTCTTTCCATCATCTGGAAATGCTCTTATTTCCTCTCCTTTTGGTTCGAATCCCCATTTTCTTATTAAATGTCACGATCCACGACCCCCAGATCCATCCCTTAATAGTCGACTTCCTTTTTGTAGATATTTCTGGATATAATGCAACCACTTCCCTTTACAGTACGCCAAGTAAGATTTCCTGGAATAAGTTGGAGAAATCTATTTTCCTGCTGGTTAAGAAGTGATATTAAATGTCGTAAGGTGGTTGATGTTTTATACTGATAGAAAAAGGCCGACCTCTATGGAAACTTCCTGGGATTGTGTGAGGATTCGCTGCAGGCCGTTCAGAATGTGTAGCTGAGATGTTTTAGACGCTGATGTGGAGCTGCTGATTCCTAAAAAGCATTCAGTCCAGCTGTGGAATCAGATGCCAACTTCATACTTTACAAACACTTTTTATTTCTTATCTTGTTAGAAACCAATCCGGGAGGTTAAGTTCTTAACCGTCTCCTCCTAGAGACTATAAATCACCTCCACAACCTTCGGATCATTTATTTTTCCATCTGCATTCTTCCGTCGTGTCTTTGCTGGGGGAGAATGGGTCTAACCCCCCCCTCTTCTTCAGAAAGTATGTGGATTTCCCTCTCGCTGCTGCTCCTCTCCTCGCTCACTCTTGTGGTATTTCCTCTCAATGCTCGGTGAAATGCGAGGCATTTAAAGGGAGACGCAGACTAGAGGTCATTAAGTGATTTGGTGGAAAAACAACATAAAGGTCACAGCTAGCGGGGCGGCAGGAGATTACTCGCAGATTACAGACCTTTTTTTTTTTTTTTTTTCTGTGTTATAACAACACGGTCAGTTGTTATAAGATCAACAGACTCCTTTAAAACTTTCATTTAAACCATTAATCATTCCAAGAGAGAATTAAAAATGTCTCTAATACTATAATAGATGTAGGTTAAAGTTTAGAACATTGACAGTGCAGAGGTACGGTAGGGAAGATCGGCTTCACCTCCATGAATCAGACGATGACTCCATGATGAAGGAAGTCATGGCTGACAGATCAGAGTTTATCATCAAAATGATAAATTTTTCCAAAATGGTATTCTAGAGTGGTGCAAGGTTAAAGTGAAGAAGAGGAGAAAAAAAAAGCTAAAATTTATAATAAAAATGAAAATTATCTTAATAAATTTTTAACGAGTCCAAAATGTATTAATATTTACACCTGGTTACCATGCCAACGTCAATGTAAAACCATTCTGCGTCAATAGGAAGAGCAATAAGGGGAAGAAGACGAGAGAAAAGCTAAAATTTATAATGAAAATTATCTTTATAAATTTTAACGAGTCTAAAATGTATTAAATTTACACCCGGTTAACATGCCAACGTCAATGGAAAACCATTCTGCATCAATAGGAAGAGCAATAAGGCGAAGAAGACGAGAGAAAAGCTAAAATTTATAATGAAAATGGAAATTATCTTTATTAGTTTAAACGAGTCCAAAATGTAGTGATATTTACACCTGGTTGCCATGCCAACGTCAATGTAAAACCCTTCTGTGTCAATAGGAAGAGCAACAAGGCGAAGAAGATGAGAGAAGTCCTCCAAAACCCTGACCACCCAGGGTGCAGACCAGGAAGCATAGTTGTAGTTTAACACACCTCTCTGCATCTTCTCTACTGTTACCCACTCTTTACTCCATCCAGACAGTGTCTTGCCCACGACCAAAATCTAATAAATTAGCAAAGATTCCCAAAGGAGTAAATCATGATAATCTAATTAAAATCAAAATAACTCCAATTGGGGAAAAAGTTAAAACAATTAAATGCGGTCTGTTTAACATAAGATCTCTTTCCTCTAAAAGTCTACTAGTTAATGACTTGATTTGTGATAATCACATTGACTTGTTTTGCCTTACAGAAACCTGGCTGCAGCAAGAGGATTATGTGAGCATAAATGAGGCAACTCCTTCAAGCTATTTAAATTTTCACATCCCCAGAAGTTCTGGGCGAGGAGGAGGAGTAGCAACAATCTTCCAGTCTGACTTACTGATTACTCCCAAAACAATTAATACCTACAACTCTTTTGAACATTTAACCCTTAATTTCCCTGATCCAAATTTCAAGGCAAGAAAACCTCTTCTTTTTGTGACTTTGTATCGTCCACCAGGTCCTTGCTCTGAATTTTTAGATGAGTTTTCAGAGTTCCTTTCTGATT